TGAACTCATTTGACCCAGTTCTACAGTTCGAGATGTCACTATTGAGTTATTTAGGCCATGACTGACCTCCTGTAGGAAGTTGTCAAATATGGGTAAAGAAACGATGGTGATTTTGGGTTTCCAGTTGAATCACAGCACTTAGGTATTAAGGGAATGACTGAGATATTCTGGTACAAACTGTTTCTTGTGGATCTGATAACGCCACCTACCAAGCAATACTTTCAAACTTAACTGGCTAACGAAATGTAGGAAGAACTGGCCATTCAAGCAGAGCAATGTGAAACGGTACAACTCAGTAGCGACAAAAGAATGACCTTAAAGCACATGGGAAATTAATGAACTAATATAGTGGTAATCAGTTAAAAAGTGTGTAGGTCATGCAAAAATTTTATTCGAAAAACATCACTCACGGTTATGTTTACTGGTAAGACTTTAACATTATTAATGAAAGCTGTCGGGTACGAGACTGTTATCCACCTCGGGCAATGGAAGATGATCGCGCAATATCGTTAATTGACTGGAGTTATGCTAGCGCATCGTTGACTTTGCGCTCAGTGGTTTGGAGGTAAGGTGTTCATGCCTGAGACCGGAAATGCTGGGTCCAATTCCGGTTGCATAATCATCTGTGTGCACTGCTGAGCAGTTCTATGCTAGGACAGAACAGTTTATCCAGTGCTTCCACGTTTTCGATAACGTTTTTGATTGGGATCACGAATCGATTGCTGTTAACCCACCATTGAAAACCTGGAAGCACTGGACAGCCATTTCGTTCCATTATGGAACTCCTCAGCAGTGTGTACCCACGATCTCGCCTCGTAAAACTCGACCACAGGACCTGACGGTCTCGCGCGTGAGCACATAAGCACTAGACCACTGAGCAGGCATCCAACGGTGCTAATGTCTAATCTCAACCAACCCACGAAATTGCGCGGCCATACCTATCTCTACCTGGCAAGGATTAGCTCCACTGGTCATGGCTTCTCACTAGAACTCCCAGAATTCTCTTACGAAGCTAGTCACCAGTGATCACATGAGTTGTAGAGATCATTAAGTTTTTGATTGAAATTATGAATCGTTTGATGTTAGATCACAGTTGAGAACCTCAAAGCACTTGAAAGCCATTTCATCTTAATAATAATCAAGCTAGGGTCATTTCATCATTGAAATTATAGAAAAACTTTACCATCTCAAGTCTCTTTACACTAATAAATTGAATTATCATAAGGATCAACTTAGCAGAAACACTTTTTTGTATTGATTATAAGTATTAGTATATAAAAATAAATAACTAATTTAGATTGAGATCATGAACCGATTGATGTTAGATCATCACTGAAAACCTGGAAGCACCGGACGGCGTTTCGTCCCACTGCGAGACTCCTCAGCAGTGCGCACCCACAATCCCGCCCGCGGGATTCGAACCCGGGGCCTTTAGTTTCGCGCTCGAACGCTTAACCTACTGGACCACTGAACCGGCATACAATGATGTTAATGTCTAACTTCAACCAGTCCACGAAGTTGCGCGACCATCTTCCATTGTACTGAGGTAGATACCTGTTTCTACCCGACACGGATTAGCTCTACCGGCCACAGCTTCTCACCAAAACTTCGAGAAATTTCTCAAGAAGCTAGTCACTAATGAGCACATAGTAATTTCCAGTTTAGGGTCGTGCAACTTCGTGGATTGGTTGAAATTAGACATTAACACTTTCGGCTGCCGGCTCAGTGGTCCAGTAGTTTGAGCGTTTGCGCGCGAGACTGAGGGCCTTGGGGTCGTGAGCGCGCATTGCTGAGGAGTCCCACAATTGGACGAAACGATCGTCTAGTTCTTCCAGGTTTTCAATGCTGGTCTAACATCAATCGATTCATCATCTCAATCAAAAACTTAACAATTTCCACAACCCCCCTAACTAATTTAGAAGTTATATTTCAACCCCATACTATATTAGGAATGATCTTAATGATAGATCATAAAAAGTAATGATGTTGACTTTTATCAATGTTGTTTTACATCTGTCTAGTTAACATTTAGATAATGAGAATCTGAATGATAATAGCCCTAAGGCTATCAATTTTTAAAGAAACAAAATGAATATGATGATGGTTTTATTCCTTATTGTTATTATTACTACTATTACCATTACCATTATTACTATTACTACTACCACTACTACCACTACTACCACTACTACCACTACTACTACTACTACTGCTATTGTTATTACTACTATTATTATTGCTATAATTAATGAGATGATGATAATAATAATGATAATAGTGAGTGAAGAACTCAGGTAGGGGAGACCAATTTATCGTTTAATGAAGAATCACAAAGTGTCTTCATAAAAATATGAAAACTAGACATTAAATACATCGTTTACACAATTACCATTAATTGTCTCTTACAAATGTTATCATTCTATTATTCCTGTTGTTATATCTTGTGGCCTGTGTGCCCTATTCATATATATAATGTAATGATACCGCCAATTAGAGAACAGTAAATTATCGACCGGATCAATGACGCATAAAACAAGTACGAGCAGTCTAGAGTCCTTATCGATCCTGCTTGCCGCCTAACCCAGCAATTTTAGTCCAGAACACCCATCTCAGCCTCTATGATATGAATCATGTATTTCAAACATACTGGGTTTATCTACAGACCGAACAGACCACATCGTACCAATAAAATAGGAAACAACATTTGTACAAGATTTGGCCAAATGTGGCTGTGAATATGGGAGACTGTAATTAATAGACTGGGAATAACTCAAAAATGGTTCGTAGGTCAAAATAGAGCTTATGATAAGAGGAACATGAATATTCATTGTTTAGTTACTTAACAATTATACGATAAAAATATATGTATAGTAATAGTCCAGGAATATATCTCAACAGTTACCATTCATTATTCTCATCGGGATATAACACAATTACTCTCTGTTTACATTCCCGTTCTCGATAATTCGATCTTCTTAAACTTCTGCTACCGGACATTCCACTTCTGATTGGTTTTAAATACTACTTACTTCTGTCAATATAAGTAGCATTCACCATAATAATAAGAAATAGAATAAATTTGATTTTGTTCAAAATAGAAAATAAGAAAGATTTAAGATGAAATAATCGACTGATTATTTGAGGGGGGCTAATAATCTGTTCAGTACTTAAAGGGATTCCTGAATACAATCGCTAACCATCATCCATCTCTTCTTATAGTGCTTCTGACTTAAGACAATATCTAAGCCATCTGTACAGGATGCACAAAAGCGATTGATCAACTAAAGTTCCAAACATCAATGGTAAGATTGAAACGAACAATATAAAAATGAATTTAATACAGGGGATTATTTGGAAGTTGTTGAATTTTTATGATTCATATTACTAACCGAAAATCAGTATGGCTAGAGTTCGCTCTTGAGACCTCAGTGGATCGGGTTTAACTCCATGTGATGGAGTCATGGATCAGCACTAATTAATAGTTTTGTACTAAGACGAAACAACTGTTTAATATTTCTTAGTTTTGATCGTTTAGAATCTAAACCATGTAGAAAAAATTATTATTATTAACCTAATGATGACTGTTCATCAGAATTATACGTTTGGTTTCATTTCTCATGACTGTTTAGTCGGTGAGTAGTTTACTCGATTGCATATCATCCTGTACTGATGATTGTTATATGCTCACTAATGACTAGATTTTAGAGAAAAATCTTGGAGTTCTAGTGAGAAATTACAACCCTTGGAGTTCAGCTGTATCTAGTGTTAAGAAGGTGCTCACTGAAGACAGTGGAATATAGTCGGATAATATCGTGAATTGATTAAAGTTAAATTTATACATCACTGAAACCTGGTTCAGTGGTCTACAGTTTAAGAGTTCATGCACGAAATCAAAAGTCGTAGGTCCAACTACAAGTTCCAGGATCGTAGATGTGCACAGCTAAAGAGTTTCATACTAGTAAATATTTACTGAATAAATCTAGGGGAATCCACAGTATTATTAGTATAACAAATGACAAATGAACTGCATAACTTGAATTTTGTTGATGGAGCTTGATATCTTATTAGAAAAATTATCTTTTAAATTATTTATTTATTGATTATCTAAAGACATAAACATTGGTACACGAAGGCATGAAAGGGGCCACATAAATCATAAGGTTTGTGTGAGGGCTGGGATGCTGCCCGGATGCCCAAACCGAAGTGGGGGGTTTTCTCAGGAGGCCACACCCCGAGCCTTCGACCTGTAGGTCTGATTTACAAGGCATTGGATCAATCTCATGGTAGCCGGTGATCAATAATTGGTTCATACTCCTTTTGTTCCCTGCTCTAGGTGGATCCTCTATATCCAACAACCTGGTTAAGGAAGCGGACATTTGCTTCTCATCCTCTCAATTTCGTAAACAACAGCAATGCCACAAGAATGTAATGAGTAGGACGTCCCTGGCAGTGGTTGTATGCACGTGGCCATATGAGAGCATTTCGAGAGGGAGAGTTGACGCTCTCCACTCTCAACCGTACCACGGCATTTGTGGGTCCGTATCTTATGGGAAAAATTATCATTTGAACAGGAATAAATCAAAGTTCAACATTTTAAAAAAGTGTATTTCCCATGGAGATAAATCATTTTGAAAATGTATAAACGTTTCTTTTCATCAACACAAAAATTCTGTACAAAACATAATAGTAAGAATAGTTTCTATGTACAAACAAAATAAACTGAATTTAAGAAAAATACTGATTTGAATTGTTTTCAAAAAAACTAATTTGTTTCTTTAAAATATGAAAATAGTATCTTGTCAATAATCTCTCTAGATTAAAATCTTTAGAAAATACGATATAAGGCATTTTGTAAAAAAACCCGGGAAAAAATCCTATTTTCTCTCAATGTTTTTAATCTTATAATTTGAACTACTTATATAAATAGTTAGTAGTGTAATTCTGTAAAACGAAATAAACTGATAAAGAAAATAAAATGACACATGATATTAATTCTACATTTAAAATTGAGATTTATTCATCATTTGTAAGAATGACTGTTCATAATTATGAATATTTTCGTTGATGTTGGCATTAGTATTATGCATAGATTGATTGTTAGTTTTATCATGTACATTATCAGAATTATTATATGGAATGACTGATGGAATTAACAAATTCGATTGATGCCAATCGGTAATAGAATTTGGATAGAAGACAGTTGAATGATTATTATTACTATTATCACTTTGAAAATTCATTAATACAGGATTGAAATTAATATTCCATGAATTTGGTATAACAGAATTTTGATTATTCAATATTTTTTCATAACAATTACTACTACTATTATTATTAATAGTAGTATTAGAAGTAGGACTTAATAAGTTCATTGGTTCATTTGATGTAACTACTGTACACTTTAACTCATCCGATAATGATGATGATGACGATGACGATGATGAAGATAAGGATAATGATAGGGAATTGGCTTGATTATGTTCTGATTTATCATGACTACTTGACTCATTGGCTGGTTGTTGTTGTTGTTGTTGTTCATGATGACGATGATGATCATGATGATGAAGGAATGAAGAAGATTGTTGACGTTGTAATTGTATTAATATTCTAGGATTAATTTGTAATGTATTAGCTATTAAATTTGTTGTATTCTGTGAAAGACCATCAGTTAAATTTAATGCCATCTCTAATGGTGTTGGAGTTTTATTCATTAATAATAATTCTGATAATGTTTTAATATAATTTTTAGCTAAACGTAATGTTTCTATTTACTTAAACGTTGTGTTGTTGAAAATGTTGGTACATGTCGTCTTAATAATTCTAATGCATGATTTAATCCATGCATACGACTACGTTCACGTGCATTAGCTCTTATACGACGATTTTTTAAACGTGTTTCACGTTCTTTTGTTAATGGTTTCTTTTTAGGTCCACGTTTTTTAGGTTGTTTCATTGATGTTAATGTTGTATCATATAATAAATGATCTTTTGTTTCTATAGTATTTATTAAATCAATATTATTATCATTGTTATTGATTTCTTTATTGATTAATTGATTTTTATTTATGGTTGAAGTTTTCATTTTGTTTTGGATAATCGATTGTTTAGCTAAAATGAAAGAAGAAAAAAAAGAGAAGAAATGAATGGATGAATGATAATTGTAAACAATTCAATTGATTAGTGATAATACAATTAAGATTATGCAGGGATTGATTTCAAGAGGTATATCCTGGAGTTCTAGTGAGAAGCAGCGACTAGTGGAGTTCAACTGGGTCTGTTGTGAGATAGTAACCTACTGCAGGCAATGGTAGATGTGTCATCATTGGATGCTGGCCAGCTCAGTAGTCTAGTAGTGAAGCGCTCGCGTGCGAGTTGAATAGGTTCCGGGTTCGAACCACGCGAGGCGGGTTCGTGGGTACGCACTGATGAGGGGTCCCACAATAGGATGAAACGGCCGTCCAGTGATTCCAGGTTTTCCATAGTGGTCTAGGTTCAGTTCACTCACGATCTCAACTATTGATCGTGTACAGACTGTGATCAAGATTTCCAAGATGTTTTATTCTTTGAAGTGAATAGTTTTGTTTTGGATGTTTCAATGGAAGTAACAGACCCAATTTTGCAACTTTACTTAATTAAGTGTTTTAATACAACTGAATTCAGAGATATAGGTAAGATTTCTACATAAAGTTCTCTTTTTGCATATCATTGAATCGGTTTGTCTAGAACAAGAGGGTTTGATTCTATATGGAAATCCATGAAAAATCCGGTCAACGTACCTATGTATGCGATAGGACTCAAATGTGAATAACCACTGGCAACTCAACAATGTTGTTAAAGCAAAGAGTGAACTACGATTAAACTATCTGTTTCAGTGAAAACAATACCTCTAGAAAATACTACAGTATAATACAGATAACTGACAGATATATTAATAAACTGCTTAATTCTGAAAAGTCCTCCTTTTCATGAAACTTAATAGTTAATTACCTTAATTCAGTGATGGATTGTCGACAGAAACTTGACTGTCTCTCTCTGGAGGAATTTCTTACGATTGGCGGTTATAAACTCTACTATTAATAATTACATACAACCATATGAGACTTAATGTAGTTCAGTAGAAAAGACTGTCAGATCAACATTCCATAGCTTATATCAGAAATTGGTATTAGAAGATCATTGAAAATCATGGAACACTGGAAAGCAGTTTCGTTCTAGTACGGGAACACTCACAAGTGGTCATCTACGATCCCCAATAAAGACGTTTGAACCCAGTGAAGCTGCAAGATATCATGAATTGATTAATATTAACCATGTGAACCATTGGATGCCGAATTTACGATTTGATAATCAAAGGTTCTTCAAGAGATCTTAAGATCCTGGGTTTGATTACCTGTGGTGGAGCTGTCAATATACACTATCACTAGGAGCCTCATGCTAGGATAAAACAGTTGTTCAGTACTTCCATGTTTTCAATGGGCGTTTAACTAAGATCGGTTTATGATTTCAAGAAAACTTCAATAGACTGTAAATTGCATTGATTTTTCGGCATGAATATTTAAGTTCAAATAAATGGAGTGAATCTACAACTTACAAAATCTGACAGCTGTTTGTGTGTATATATCCCGGTATAACCAAGATATGAACTCCTTAAAGCAGTGAGTAAACAACTTTACTTTAAACAGTCCTATTGATGAATACGAGATATATAGTATAGATTAGATGATTGAATAAAGTTAGTTGATAACACCGCTCAGCAACGATTTATTCTTGACCGAGGTTATTAGTAGCACAAATATAACGCTTATTAAAGAAGCATTGAGTCTTCTCAAATAGTTGAACTCATAAACATTCATTTATATAACACCTTGTATCAAGTCACGTGGTTGATGTTAGTCGATAGGAAATACTTATCAGTAATGTGTACTTGTAATTTTGAAAGAACTAATTCCCACTACCCATTTCTACAGTTTGAGAAGTTACTGTTAAATCAATTGAATCTCCTTGTAAGATCTTCAAACACCATCTAATATCTCAGCATAATGCACGTGATATCGAGCTACTTAGACTATTGACAACATTACAACTTAACTGACAACATTCATTTAGTACCAAAAAAATGACTAGACATATATTAAATTGGTAATACTCTCGTGTGAAATTGAATTCTTCTTTGTACTTGAAGAGAAAAAATATTAAATTTTTTTATCTTTCATTAAAACTTGTTATCAGTTATAAGTAAAGATGAACAATGGCTAGCAGTGGAACTCAGGACGCACGTTTCTTGCTATTTGGGACTCGTCAGTTGAATGTACCTTCATCGCAGAGTCGATGTTCACTCTGAGACTCGAACCCAGTACCACTCGCTTCAAACGCCATCACATTGTCCACTTAGCTATTTAGTCCTGATGGCCACTAGCTTGCATAATGGGGCGAAGTTTAAATTGACTTGGTATTGTTTACCTGAATATTCCCATTGATGTTTAGCACTGTAACTGATCAGTCTGTTATTGGCGTACTGTGAGTATTGCCTTTATATTGCCTAAATTCACAAGCATTATATGCAAAGATGGATAGTGATTAGCACGTTTCTTGCTATTTGGGACTCGTCAGTTGAATGTACCTACATCGCAGAGTTGATGTTCACTCTGAGACTCGAACTCAGTACTATTAGCTCTAAACGCCATCATGTCAACATTAGCTCTGGGATGTAGATGTATCCAGCTAACTCTTTCCAAATAGGACAAAACACACATCCTGGATTTCATTACTAGCCAACATCCATATTTGCTTTTAACGTTGTTTTTTTGAGTTAAGGCATTATCATAGCAATCCTCACAAGGTGCACATATACTAATAAGAGATGAATTCATTACAGTTCTAAACATCACTAATAAGATTCAAATAACACAATAGCAATTGAATTAGTTATCAGTCAGTTTTCCACGATAGAACAAACGTAACAAAATGACTTCAAATCTATTCCGATCAAATTTTCTAATACAATATACATATATATCTCTTTTTATTCAAAATCAAAATTGACATGTGTTTTATATTGACCAGTGATGATGACTTGAGGCCTTAACCTCATCCATTCATTGACTTAACATACATTCAGTTATACATATATAATGGTTAACTACACTATAAACATACTTCACTCATCTTCATTTGACTTGAATTCTTTTATTCATATTTAGAAATGAGGTGAATATTTTAAAAGTTTTATTCTCTATCTAGATCAAACCCCCTTTTTTTTAAAAAAATTTTGTTACTTATTAGTTTACCATAATAAAAAATTAGAAAAAAATAATTTAAGACATGGTAGTAAATTCATGAACAGATGTCTATGAATTTAATCCAATAAGTGAGTTGTACTCATAGTCACTACTCTCACCACCCCACCCCCTCTATTTCTCTTTCCCTTTCCCTCTGCCTCACCCTCTCTCTCTTTCACGCACACATACACACACACATAACACACCTTTCAAATATAAATCATTCTTATATTCAGTCTGGATCAAAATGAAGTTTCAGTTTGATTTCTTTTATTTTTTTGTTGTTGTTATTTATTGTGTAGATCAGACTGAAGACAATACATTGAGAGAAAGAAGAAGAAAAAAAAGGAAAAAGAAAAGGAAAGAATGAACGAAATGAGTATAACACAAAAGAAGCCCATAAGAAAAAAGAAGAAAAAAAGAAAACACATTATTGATAATTTTTTTCTTCTTCAATAATTGTCGTTTATTATTCATAGAATATAGATAGATAATAAGTTAAGCTGGCATGACGAGTGTTCAGCAATGTGAACAAAAGAAAAGAGAAGTTCATTGAAAAACAAAAGGGGGAGGGGAATGGTTTGTATTCTCGTTGAAACTTGTTTGTTTGTTTGTTTACTATTTTGTACGACTACAGTTTGTCTGATAATGATTTGTTCACTTTAGTCTAACTATTTTCTTGATTTTGTTAGCAAGTTATTACACTGATTGAAATCATGAGTCAATTGAAGCTAGACCACCACCACCACCACCACCAGTGCGCACTGCTGAGCAGCCCCATACTAGGACGAAACAGCCGTTCAGTGCTTCCAGGTTTTTTCATAGTGGTCTAGTTTCAATTGACTCATGATTTCAATCAGTGAAATTTCTAAAATCTCCACAGAAAACCCCTACTGATAAAAAATTATTATTCAATGAAGTAACATCAGTGGATGCAGTCTCATAATTAGGTGATGACCAGAAATCATTTCATTCATCTCTCAAGATAGTAGAGCTCATGTACATTGGTGATTTGTAGTTATTGTTTCTTTACCTTCTAGATGAACCCTATGTGTCGAATAAATCAGTTCATTTTTCATCTTCTCATTTTCTAAAATTATATCCCTATTTTGTGAAGTCAGTGAGTAGAATTTCTATGACAGAACTATAAACACATGGACATATGATAAAATTTCGAGTAAGTGAGTGAACTTTCTTTGATCCCCTTTTGTACCAGGGTATTTTGGGCCTCATAAGAATAGATAATGCTCTATAATTAAGCATTATAATCCTTTATATTTAAACCGAAACATGTGTAAGCCAATGTGTCATTAAATTATGTATGATCTCTAAGTTTAAATTTATAACATTTTGAAAATAACTGATTATTTACTCCCTTCATCTAATGGACAACCGGGAAGTAATAACTGCCCTCATACCTCTAACAGCATTCAAAATCACTGTATTCATAATCGTCTAATGGTTTACATCCCAGATTGATCTTCGTCAGACAACTTTCGAAAACCAGAAAGCATTGGATTTCCATTGTGTCCTAAAATAGAACTCCTCATCCATGAACCTACACAAGGGATTTAACCTTGAATCTTCAAGTTTCGAGTAGAGTGTTTAATCTTTAGACCACAAACAATAATTATTTAGTTTGGGTTCATTTAGTGTACACGATTCACGAGGGTCATCGGTATGAATGAATCCATATTATTGCAATACTAGTACAAGGATTTCTTATCATACACTCCTCTCATTAGTATATCACTAGATAGTAAACAATGTCAAGTAAATTAAGCATTAATAATAACATGATTTCGCTGATGCGTTTATCGAGTTGGCTGA